AATACTTTACATTTCTCGCGATACAGAGGTGACATGTACTCATGGTGAAATTCATACAAGCAGGTCTTAGATATGTCGAGAATACACATTCCCACATAGATCGGCTTGTTGAACTTCACTTCGAGTTTTCGCAATTCAACGGCAATTAAATTTTCTGAAAAAGTGCTCCTGCTATGAAAATTTGATATTGCGACCATTGCCTCTGCACCGTATCGTCCATCCCATTTTGTCAAAAGTTTTACATCGACGTGATTGCGAACATTTTCCATTGTTTTGCCGAATACTGCGTTGTTCATCAATTTGTATAAATTTTTCTCAAAATCGTTTATTACATGCGTTCGAAACTGCGTATTTAATTCTATGTAGTTGCGTAGACATAGAGATTGCGCGAATTGGAATATGCGATGAATCTTTCCGATACGAAGACCATGGCGTGTGCACTGCTGCAGGTTGCGATAATGAATAACGCTGCTTATTATATAAAGTCGCAAGGAGTTTTTCTTGCCGTTTGTTCGGGGGCTTCATTCATATCGGACAGAGCGGTAGATCTACGTGTGCATCATGCAAGTATTGGGGATACTCCAAACCAACCTCGAGAATACTACCTGTGAGCGAATCTAACGGGATTGATGATACATCAAAATTCGACGTATCATCAACCCACTTAAATTCAGCATATGGTAACGGTTGACACATTGCTCAGGCATACAAATTATTTATATCAAAGTACATGAGGTATGAGGATGGCTTCGATGGGTCGTAAGATTTCATGTATTGGTTATTGGCTTTTGCGTATCTACCGGAACACTGACTCAGACCACCACATATACCGCGTTCGATAAACATTACCATATCAGTATCTATGGGTAATTCAAAATTAATTTTTGTATGTTTTAACATCGCGTCCCACGTGAAACCTGGCAATGTGTAATAATGCGCGGGATCTAGACCGTAACTTTTGATACAATTATCACGGAAATTTTCGAAAACATCAGCCAATAACAAAACATCAGTCTTCAGGTACAAATCTCTATATTCGTCTAAGGTTTGAATAGAAAACCGTTCCCATACATTCACGGCGTGTGTGTAATCGCTCTCAGATACTGTATCACCTGTCAGCGAACTGTAGAATAACTCGCGCGGTGGCAAACATTGATCCTGCAGCTTGTCATTGCAATCCACATATTCGTACGGAAAGACACCTTTTCGCATTAATAAATCAAAATCTTTGTCGGACAAGCTTTTAAATTCGGATTGAAGAATTTTTAATTTGTCTCCAGTGAGAAACGATGCTAATTTATCGAGACTGGTACTGAGAAATTTGTACGAATCAATAAATCGCAATTTAATATGATTTCGCCAGTCTGATGTTTTACTTGTTGTATCTTTAATATGTTTGGTAAATGAAATATATTTTTCTTTCGTTATTGGTAGTACATCGACGTGGCCTTCGAAAGCGGTGGCTACTTCCTTGATAATAAAATGAGAGTCATAATCTGATAAGTTATGAAAAGCTATCGGAATATAATAGGAATCTATATAATTTAAATTACAATTGGAATGTGCAGGAACCCCTCTATTGTCCGGTTAAATGGCAATGATGGCGTACGCGTATATCCTCCATCGCGAATAATTTTTCGCATATATGACAGTGCGTTGCGCTATAAAATGCTGCACACTGGTCTTGTGATAAAATTTCCATAGGGACATTATTACGCAAAATAATTTTTATACGATGCGCCAATTATTTATGTTCCTCGACGAACCACGAAATGCAATTCGGATCGCGACGACACTGTTACGCGGATAATGATTCATCGTAGGAACATCGTACGTAATAAGCTATACTATGTACTTTATGATGCTGATACACATACGATTTTTTTTCTTCGTTTGGCGTCTTCTCTAGAATGCATTCCAGGTCAGCGTACACCACGAATGGAATCCGTTCCCTTCTGCTGTAATTGGTAAAACTGAGCCACTTGTTGGCCTCTGTTGACAGGATGACTGCGTAGTTATTTAACTTATTGCAATCTATGATATGATTCTCTAGTTTCTCGTTGGAATGAAAATAATGCAAGCATCTGAAACGAAAAAGAAATGGATATTACGAGTTTTTCTTTTATATTATATTTGTTATATTGTATTTATGGTGAATATCTTCTTACCGATCGTATATATATTTCTTGCATTTTTTCTTACTTAGTTGCATGTCCACAAGACGTGACAAATTCTTAATCCACACGAAATGTCCCATCTTGTACTCTCGTGGATCTTGCACATATAACAAATTTACATGCTTTACCTTCTTACTGGCGAGACGTATTGGAACGATCGTACATACTTCTTCCTGCTTCTTTTTATCTTGAATGGTATATACGTTAATGGATATGTTGTTTAACTGTTCAAACTTGGTAATTTGTTTAATCGTCATTGGAAATTCAATATCCTGAAGATTGAATATTTTGGTGTAATGTGGGTACGAAGATTTCCGGTCTCCATGTCTTTCAGCTGGATATACTAGGTCTGTAAATATGAAACCGAAATTTGCCTATAGATCGCCCTAGCTGTTAATGTAGTTACCGTCAAACCACGTCATTGGCGCCATTTCCATTTGTTGACATCTGACAAAGATTTTCAACTCACAACAATACTTGTTTCATACAACAACGTAGTTTGTAATAGCGTTGAACATGTCGAATTTTGTGCCTGGAAACTACGATTTGCGGACAGCATTGATTTTCTGTTACCATTTGGAGAAAACTGCTGCAGAATCACATCGAATGCTTGTCGAAGCTCACGGTGAGCATGCTCTTGGTAAATCACAGTGCTTTGAGTGGTTTAAAAAATTCAAACGTGGCCATTTTTACGTGAGAAACGAAGAACGTGAAAGACCACCAAAAAAGTTTGAAGACAGCGAATTGCAAGCATTGTTGGATGAGGATGACGCTCAAACGCAACAACAACTCGCGGATCAATTAAATGTGACACGAGAAGCCGTCTCCATGCGTTTGAAAGCCATGGGAAAGATCCAGAAGATGGGAAAATGGGTTCCACATGAACTGAATGAAAGACAGCAGGAAAACCGAAAAACCACTTGTGAAATGCTGCTCGCCAAGTACAAAAGAAAGTCATTTCTCCATCGAATTGTGACTGGGGATGAAAAGTTGATATATTTTGAGAATCCTAAGCGTAAAAGATCATGAGTAACTCCAGGCGAACCATCGACATCGACTGCAAGGCCAAATCGCTATGGACGGAAGACAATGCTCTGTGTTTGGTGGGATCAGAAGGGTGTGATCTATTATGAGCTGCTAAAACCTGGTGAAACCGTTCATACTGAACGCTACCGACAACAAATGATCGGTTTGAATCAAGCTTTGCGTGAACAACGACCAGAATATCAAAAAAGGCAACACAAAATGATTTTACTTCATGATAATGCACCATCATACACAGCAAAACTGGTCAAGGAAACGATTGAGGCGTTTAGTTGGAAAATACTTTCGCATGTAGCTTACTCACCAGACTTGGCTCCGTCCGATAACTACTTATTTGCACCGATGGGACACGCACTTGCTGAGCAGCGCTTCACTTCTTACGAAAATGTACAAAAATCGCTCGATGACTGGTTTGCCTTAAAAGAGCAATAGCTATTTTTGACGTGGCATCCACAAATTGTCAGACAGGTGGGAAAAATGTATAGCTAACGATGGGCAATACTTCGAATAAAATATTTTTTATCATTTTCATACAATAAACGTGTATTTTCTATACAAAAATTCCGGTTATATATTTATATACCTGGTAATGCCGCAACTACAGACCATGCAAAACATGCGTTGTCTTTAGTTCGTACGTTTATCACTGTTTTCTTTAATTTTATTTCGCGCGGCAACTCAATGTTGCACCCTGCATGCAGTGGACTATATTTGTTTACATTGACTGTGAGATCAAGTATGCGCAGCATTGCCCACCCAGCATCACGTTCTTGAAATATCGATAGACGTTCGATAGACGTCCGATAGGCATTCGAGAGACGTTCGAGAGACGTTCAATAATAATCGCGGGACCCAGGTTCGACCTTACCTACATCCCGACACGTTTCTCTCTCTGGACATGTGCATGATGTCATGGTCGCCATCTTACCCTTAAACGTGACGTCTATTAGCAATAGGCGACGGTGGTCTAGGAGTTTGGGGCGTTCGATAGTAGCCGCAGGACCCAGGTTCGAGTCTAGCAACACCCGGACTGTTTTTCTCTGGGCGTGACGTTACGGCCGCTCGCCACCTTGCCCATAGAATCAAACAATTCTGGGGAGGAGGGAGGGTATCAATAAAGAGGGGATATCAATAAAGGGGGGTATCAATAAATAGGGGGGAGGTTATTTATAATATTGCATTAAAAAGGTCAGGTTAGAAAATATTTCATTAAAAAGGTCAGGTTCGAAAATATTTCATTAAAGAGGTCAGGTTCAAAAAATTTTCATTAAAAAGGTCATGTTCAAAAATATTTCATTAAAAAGGTCAGGTTCAAAAAGATTTCATTAAAAAGGTCAGATTCAAAAAGATTTCATTAAAAAAGGTCAGATTTTTGAAAATGTTTTGAAAATTCATTTTAAAATGTTGGTTAGAACCAGTCTTGTTTTACTACTTGATTACATCTATTATCCAGCGAAAATCAGGATAAAAATAAATCCTGACGTAAAGAACCTCCGTGCTAGTTAACTCACAGCCAACATACGGAACGGGGAATTCTTTTTGCACGAGATTAGTCATATCTGACAGTCAACGTTTTAACAGACATTTTTGCCGCTTGTCGCGAAATCAATTTTATAATACTTCGCGATCAGAAATGTTGCTCGAGTCACGAATTGTGTGCACAAGTGTGAAGGCTGATTCTTACGCGTATATATATGAAAATAATCCGTAGACAGAGGAGAGTCCTTATGGGATTATATGACTCATGCGAATCCGGGACTAATACAGGACGGGAGTAACATGGACGTAGCGAGTGGTTTTCATGATAAATACAAAGAGGATCTACGTCTGGCAAGAAGCATCGGCGTAAGCATCAAGATCCTCTTTGCATCCGCGCGTTATGAATATCTCTTAATACCTTCCAGCTGCTGTTTGTAAGCGAACGACGGATATCCGGCTCGTATATATGTCGTGAATAAAGAACGGTGCTGACTAAGCGGTACGGGCGATATATATCGATCTTAATCGTCCATTCAACGAAATGCGCTACAAGAGACAGTTATAATCCCGTGATAATCCATCGCGAGGCTGGAAAGTGTTAATTGTTAACAATTAATCTATCTATCGACACATTCGCTATCACCGTTTACTCAGGAAATTGTCCATCCAGACACCATCCTTTCCTTTTTTGTGTAACAGTGTGAAATAGACTCTTGAAAGAAAGAGACTTGAATTATTTAATTTTAATTCAATTTTAGACAGGCTTGTTTTTATTCGTTGAATCTAAATTTGGTTCTTTTATGTAATAACGTTTTATAATGTTTTTATAATGTTTTTATTTTATTTTATTTTATTTTAACCGTTGAATTTAGACTTGATTTGTTTATGTGAATATATTAGGAGGTTGAATTAATTCTGGTATTATTTTGTTAATTCTTTTATCTTTGTTTTATAGAAATGATAAAGAAATTTACATCAATTAATATATTTTCCGTTGTTAGCTGTGACTTTTCTCCATCTTTCTGGCAACATAGTGATTCCACGACGATAGAACGATCTGTCTTTCAAAACAATCCACTCAGACACCCATTTTTGCACATCTTCGTAATTATTGAACTTCGTATGCCAAAGCGTGTTGCATCGATCAAAATAGTAAGATCAGTACTAGGTCTAGAGAATACGCTAGATGTGGAAGGATTTCCCATTCGAGCTCTAACAATGTCTGTTTAACGATTGAAGCAATATGTGGACGAGCATTATCATGCAAAAGAATTACATTGCGTCTATTACTGGCTATCGCTGGCCTTCTTTTGCATCAATTCATCGTTCAATTTGTTCAATTGTTGCTACGTAGTATCACTTCCCCGTAACTGTCTTATTTAGTTTTAGAATTTCATAGTACACCACACCTTCCATATCCCATCAAATATAAAACATTGCTTTGTGACCGTGAATGTTCTGTTTTGGTGTAGATGTTGATGGTTGTTTTGGATTAAACTACGATTTTTTTCGCTTTGGATTATCGAAATAAATCCACATCTCATTTCCAGTTATAATACGCCACAAAAGCTCTTTTTTTTATCTGGCAAGCAAAGACATGGCGATATTCAAATGATTTGCAATGGCACTTTCACTCAATTCATTTGGAATCTATTTACTTTCTTTTTGAATTTTTCCCATGGCGTGTAGGCGTTTAGAAATTGTTGATTTGTCAACGTTGAGTTATTCAGCCAATTGTTTTTCCGTTTGAACGGTGTTTTCATTCAAGAATGTTTGTGATTCAGAATTTTCGAATTTTTTTGGTTGACCAGTACTTTTGAATCGTTGAAACTAAAATTTACAGTTGGAATACGATGGAACTTGACCGCCATAAGTTATAACAAGCATTTCATAAGCTTTAATTGCCGATTTTTTCAAAACAGCAAGAAAAGTAATGAGTGTCGAAAATGCAATTGTATATGATACATTTTAGACGTATATAAGCAATGAAACTATTAGTAACAATAGCGCGCAAACTGTCATATATCATAAAGAAATGTCAAATCTTTCAGTGTTGCCAGCTTTCAACATTAGTATTAACCATTAACTTATTACTAAAGCCTTTTATTGCTAGGGACTAGAACTAATTCTACTTCCTAATATAGTGAAAAAATATCGAGATCGCAAGTATGCGACATCAGCTTTTCATGAGAGATCGTTATATTACACATATGTGACGTTGGTGGCGAATGTATATTAAAGATTTTAACAAATCGTATTAATCGTCCAATCCGATTTTCATAACGGTTTCTGTTCTGCAGACTCAAATGTTCAAACTCTCCTTTTCGTGGTCGAGAATTTTACCAAATGGTTTTACGAATCACGTCAGCAAAGACGGTATACAATTTTATAAAATTGTGCTCGACGAGATAGCAGCTAATGAAATGATTCCCATGGTTACGTTGCTTCATATGGACCTGCCTAATGATTTGCAAAAAATGGGTGGTTTAACTAATCCATTGTTTGCTGATTGGTTCGAGCAGTATGCTCGATTCGTTTTTGCTACTTTCGGCGACAAAGTATGTATACGTATTTGGTAAATATTCACGGAATTTGTTATTATACACGGAGAATATTATATAGTTTCCTTCCATTCTAAATTTTTTTCAATCTTATTATGTTTTCTAATAGTGAAAAAGCTTAGAAATATTATCTTGATAAAAAAATATAATAAATTTAGAAAAACAGTAAATAATAAAAATAATAAATTTAGAAATAAGTTTAGAAAAACAGTAAATATTAGGTTGTTGCAGATGAAATGGCCATTTTTTAATTTTTAATTTAAATTTTTATTCGACACACATTTATATACATCTCGTCAATCGAAATAGTCTCCCTCCACCTCAATACACTTCCCCAACGTGATACAAGCGCATCAATGCCTTTCACGTAGAAATTAGAAGAACGAGATGCAAGAAATTCGTTGAACGCATTTTTCACCTCGCTTTCTGTTTGGAATACCTTTTCACTTAAAAAGTTATCCAGATGCTTAAACAAATGGTAATCAGTTGGAGAAAGGTCAGGAGAATAAGGAGGGTGAGGGAGAACTTCGCATTTGTATTCTGTCAATGTTTTTACAGTTTTTTTTGCAATATGTGGTCTAGCATCATCATGGAGCAATAACATACCGCTTCTATTTAATAACGCCGGCTGTTCAATACGCAGTTTTTTCATCACAATGTCAATTTCTTGGCAATATACAGGGTGCACGATTTATCTGGACATTGAAATATCTCGAGAACTATGCATTGGATAAAAAAAAGTGGTTAATGAAAGTTGTTAGTCTCGAAGGGGGACATCCAATGATACCAAACTCGACCTCCTACCCCACCCCCTGGGGGTGGGGGTTGGGGGCAACGTTGAAATCTTAAATAGAAATCCCCATTTTTTATTGCAGATGCGGATTCTACGCCACAAAATGCGTAAATTTTGTCCGAAACTTTTTTTTTGATTCGTGATAGATGGCGCTGTAATTGCAAAAAATTATATTTTCCCCAATTCTCCAGAAATGATCATTGGATTGAGAAATAAAAAATACCTATTCAATATTTTTAAAAAACATAATAAAAGTTATTCCCCCCATCTTCTCGGGGTAAGGTGGGTGGTAATGTTCAAATCTCAAATGGGAACCCGAATCGAAGAGGGAACTGCTCGACGCACCACTGTGGGTGTATGGCGAACTACGGCTTATTATAAAAGGCAGTGCAAGGCGGTCAGAGGTCTCTTTTCTTTCAGAATTAGAACTGAATGCATCTCTAACAATTTCATTTTACTTGACTACTTTTTATTACCTGCATATCTACCCTTCATTCTTTGAACAAAATTGCAAGTGGAAAATGAATTCTGCAACCGTAGAAGCAAAAATTGAAATGATTTATGGTGAATGTAGGAGGAATGTTGGCGATGCTGTTGCCTTGTATGCTGAGCGTTTTCCAGACAATGTTCGCTCACGTTCTTTTTTTTACAAAGTTGTGACTGCCTTTATCTCGGATGGCAGCGTACAAACTAAAAAAAGAAAACGAAGAACAACTGTTACAGGAGAAATTAATGAATAGCTGTGTAAATAGCTGTGCTAGCAGCTGTTCACCACAACCCACAGGTAAGCACTTGGCAATTACATCGCGATTTCGGAATTTCCGGAGATAGTATTCGCAGAATATTGCATCGTCATAAGTATCACCCATATCACATTTCACTGCATCAAGAACTTCATGGCGATGATTTTCATAATCGAGTGGTGTTTTGTGAATGGGCACTTCAACAAATGCAAACGAACCCCAATTTCATTGCTAATGTACTATTTACAGATGAGTCTACATTCACAAATCATGGTGTTAATCGACATAACATGCATTACTGGAGTGTAGAAAATCCCCACTTACGACAAGTTGAACATCATCGTCCTTCGTCGGTTAACGTTTGGTGTGGAATCATAGGGAACAGACTCATTGGTCCTTATTTTATTGAAGATAATTTGAATGGAATCAAATATCGAAATTTCCTGGAACAGGAACTACCACCACTACTTGATGATGTTGCCTTGGACGTTCGACAAAGTATGTGGTTTCAGCATGACGGTTGCCCAGCGCATAACTCAATAGCAGCACAGGAAGTATTAGACCGTGATTACAATGGTCGGTGGATTGGCAGAGGTGGCCCGATTAATTGGCATGCTAGGTCGCCTGATTTGACATCGCCGGATTTATTTCTGTGGGGTTACCTAGAAGATAAGGTTTATCAACAAGTGCCAACAATTCGTGAAAACATGATAGAATGCATAAGAAACGCTTGCGCTGAAACTCCCGCAGATATGCTTCTATCCTGTGTACAGTCATTTGAAAAAAGGATCAATAAGTGTATTGAAGTTGAAGGTAAAAATTTCGAACATTTACTCTAATTAATTGAACAGTGAAAGGCAAGGGGACTCACATTAAAAAAGCACCCCAATCTGTGAGAGGCAAGGGGACTCACATTAAAAAAGCACCCGAAGGGAATATAAAACTACTACGTCCTCGTCGTTGTTCCTGTGTAACGCTAAAAGTAGTTTCTCGGAAAAATTCAACGCTATCTATCACGAATGAAAAAAAATTGTTTCAATAAAAATTTCACGTACAATCTAATTCTGCAATGAAAAATGTGGGTCCCCATTTGAGATTTGAACGTTATCACCCACCCTACCCCGAGAGTATGGGGGGGAATAACTTTTATTATGTTCTTTAAAAATATTGAACAGGTATTTTTTATTTCTCAATCCAATGATCATTTCTGGAGAATTGCGGAAAATGTAATTTTTTGCGATTACAGCGCCATCTATCACGAATCAAAAAAGAAGTTTCGAACAAAATTTACGTATTTTGTGGCGTAGAATCCGTATCTGCAATAAAAAATGGAGGTTTCCATTTAAGATTTCAAAGTTGCCCCCAACCCCCACCCCCAGGGGGTGGGGTAGGAAGTCGAGTTTGCTATCGTTGGATGTCCCCCTTCGAGACTAACAACTTTCATTAACCACTTTTTTTTATCCAATGCATAGTTCTCGAGATATTTCAATGTCTTCAGATAAATCGTGCACCCTGTATGTCAGCATTTATAGTTTCACCCTTTTTCAAAAACGAAAAATGCACAATATCCTTGGCAGACCATACAGATACCATAACTTTACGTGGATGAAGGCTCGGTTTCGGCATGTGTTTCAGAGTTTGATCAACATCTGCCCACCACTGGGCAGAACGTCGACGATTGTCATAAAGAACCCACTTTTCATCACACGTTACTATTCGATTCAATATTCCTTCATTATTGTGTCGGGAAAGCAAAGATGAGCTGATTTCCATACGGCGAAGCTTGTCTCTCTCAGTCAGTTCATGTGGTACCCATTTGTCAAGCTTTTTCACTTTCCCCATGGCCTTTAGGTGTCGGGAAACAGTGGAATAGTGAACGTTGATGCTGTGTGCAATATCTCGAACTGATAAACGCGAGTCTGCTTCAACTATGTCTTTCAAAACATTATCATCAATCACTGATGGTGCATGGCCGCGAGGCAAATTGTCGAGATTTGTATCACCAGACCGAAACTTTTCAAACCAACGTCTAATGGTTCGATCACTTACAGAACCTTCCCCAAAAGTAGTGTTTATGTTTCGCGTTGCCTCGGCTGCACTATGACCAAGTTTATATTCGTACAAGAATATTATCCGCATTTCCTTACTTTCCATATCGAAGAGACAACGATTTTCAACGATATAAACAATGTGATAAAAGTAAGGTTATGCGTACGAATTTACGTATGGGGCATATACTTTTCAAATATCACGCATGCAACGACAGCTGCATGAAAAGAGCTGAACTACTCGGCCGGGAAATTTGAATTTTGAAAAACGGCCATTTCATCTGCAACAACCTAATAGTAAAAATAATAAATAGTAAAACTTTTAATAGCAAACTTTGGTTCTTAAAATATAAAATATGCGGTGTCCCGGGAGGAAAGGTCAATATTTTGTGGGGGTATAGAATGAAGTAATACAAGGCAAAAATGTTATAAAGGGTGTCCCAAAATTCACGCAAGATTTGAATTTTGCGCTATTTGTGCGGTAAAGTGTTGCCAACGAAAAAAAAAAGACAGCGTAACAGCTGACAGTTCAGGGTTTTTAAAATGGAGTGCTACACAAAAGAACAACGCGTTTTCATTGTTGAGCAATATTTTAAAATGGATGCTGATTTTTCGAACAAAATCATCTTCAGCGATGATGCTCATTTTCATCTTGATGGCTTGGTTAATCGACAAAATTGTCGCATTTGGGATTCAGAAAATCCACGAGTGACTGTTGAGAAACAAATGCATCCACAACGTGTCACTGTTTGGTGTGGATTTTAGGCTGGAGGCATCATCGGACCATTCTTCTTCGAAAATGCGGTTGGTCAGGCAATAACTATTTAATGGTGCTCGCTATCGCGACATGATAATCCAATTTCTTGTGCTTAAATTGCAATATATGGATGTGGACGACATGTGGTTTCAACCAGACGGTGCCACATGCCATACAGCCCGCGAAACAATTCAATTAGTGCATGAGTCATTTCCTGATCGTGTAATTTCGCGTTTTGGTGATCAGCCGCCCAGATTTGAAGTCTAAGGTTTATGTCAACAAGCTCACGACCACACCTTGAAGGAGGAAATTGAGCGCTGTATCAACGAAATTCAGCCACATTTATGCAAAACGGTCATGGAAAATTTCAATAAAAGAGTACATATGTGCCAGCAAAGTCGTGGAGGCCATTTACCCGATATGCTATTCCATACATAACCCTATACTGTATACTTTATGAACCAATAAAAAATTTGCAATTTTTAATTATAAACCTATGTTTTCTATCAAAATTACATCTTGCATGAATTTTGGGACACCCTTTATAAACATGGTGTCGTTTATTACTGAGATACAGCTATGTTAAATAATATAATTAAATAATAAAAATAATAATAATAATAATAATAATAAATAATTAAATAATCTAATTAAATAATCTATTATGTTAAATAATCTAATTAATCTATGGGCAAATTCCGGTTTCATATTTACAGACCTGGTAATTACCGGATACTCTGTATATACAACTATACTGTTTTGTTTACAAATGGTAACTTTCGAGATATTCACTGATCATTATTTTTGTTAAACAGAAACCCCAATTTTTTATTACACTGTTTTTTTCTACTAATTAATTTAAACAATTTCTGTCTGAAACATTTTTTTATTTGCCTAATATTTTTTAGATATTTAAGCTTTTAGATATTAAAACTATATATATATATTAGGAGGACAAATAAGTTTCTGCCGTTTTCTATCAAAAATTAGGAATTTATTGTGAAAGAACGGTATATTACGTTTTATTCAAAGTATTGTCCATCACTAGCCATTACCTTTTCCCATCTTTCTGGCAGCATTCCAATACCACGTCGGAAGAACTCTTCATCTTTTGAGGCTGTCCACGAATCGACCCAATTTTTAGTATCTTCATATGATGTAAAGCGCTGCTTAGACAGGCCATGTGCCATCGACCGGAACAAGTGATAATCGAAAGGGGCAATGTCTGGTGAATACGGCGGTATTCATGGTGGCGGTATTCATGGCGGTGAATATGGAGTAGGACTTCCCAATTAAGTATTTCCAAATAGGTTTTGACCGGTTTTGCAACATGTGGCCGAGCGTTGTCATGTAGGAGAATAATTTTGTCGTGTCTGGAGTAATAATGGGCGCGTTTTTCCTTGAGTGCTCGGCTCAATCTCATTAATTGTGTTCGGTAGAGAGCTCCAGTAATGGTTTCGCTCGGTTTGAGCAACTCATAATACACGACACCAAGCTGATCCCATCAAATACACAGCATGAGTTTTTTTCCATGAATATTCGGTTTGGCTGTCGATGTTGAAGCATGGCCAGGTGATCCCCATGATTTTCTCTTCTTTGGGTTATCGTAGTGGATCCATTTTTCATCACCAGTAACTATACGATGCAAAAAAACCCTTTCTTTTATGCCTGGCAAGCAGCATTTCACACGTGCAAAATCGGCGTTCAACATCTCTCGGCTTCAGTTCATATGGAACCCAATTTCCTTGTTTTTGGACCCATTTCCAACGATTTTAAACGATGTGAAATTGCTTGTTGAGTTACTTCTAATGTAAGTGCAAGTTCTTCTTGCGTTTGGCACGAATCTTCCTCCAATAATGTTTCCAATTCCGTGTCTTCGTACACTTTCGGCCTTCCACTACGTTCTTTGTCTTCCACGTCAAACTCACCGTTTTTAAACTTTTGAAACGTTTGAAACTCACGACAACTTCTCTCACTTAAAGCAGTCTCACCATATGCTTCTACAAGCAATCGATGTGCCTCAGCTGCAGATTTCTTCAAATTAAAGAAGTAAATCAAAAGTTCCCGCAAATGACGCTTATTCGGCACAAAACTTGACATTTTCGCCCGAAAAAAATTATGTGATGCTGATACGAAGTCACTAATACTTCAAGGTTATGTTGTTATCAGATGTCCAAACTTACGATATTACGTTTTACATCTGACAATTTCAACATAACCTTCTGGTGGGGCCATCTTTTGTCAAACGGCGGAAACTTATTTGTACTCCTAATACATATATATATATATATATATATATATATATATATATATATATATAGCACGTATGAAATGGAAGGATAATAATAAGTTAAGATAGAATATCAATATGTTTCTATATCATAAAATTCTATAGCAATTTTGATTGTAAATTTTTTCCCGTATAACGTAATATGTTTGATTGTAATTCGTATACGTTACGCATGCATAAATTAGTGATAGTTTGTTATTGACATCGTAATGAAAATTATTAAATAAAAATTACTAGAAGATGATTGAATGGACGATGGATATAACGATATACAAATATTACGCAGGTGAAATACTGGGTGACCATTAATGAACTGAATATGTTTTGCTACGGTGGATACGGCAACGAATTTGTACCGCTCTTAAACATGTCAGGATTCGCGGATTACTTGTGCGGGCATCACGCCTTGCTTGCTCACACAAGAGCTTACCGTCTGTATGATCGCGAATTTCGCCCCAGTCAGAATGGTAAGGAGATTGGAAGAAAGTCTGACATGATTATTCATTATCCTGGAGAATACCGAAATTCGAAAATGGAAATATTTTCCCGGATGATCATAATTTTGATATCCGAATACCAAGATAATCTCTTCCGAAATACAATTTCTCCGAAATATTGGAAGCAAATGTTCCATAAATTTACAATAACAAAATTAATAAACAATATAGCAATAGTTAATAAACAAAGAGACAATATAGCAGAAAATTATTATTATTTGTTAAAAATGAAATTGAACCAGTCACAACTGCGCGCAAGAATGTTGGCAACGTATTATTTTTCTTCACGAAAGAATAATAAGGTTATACATGTTTAAAGATTGAGGAAAATCTCAGCGTGGGCAATACATTATTGACATTATTATTTTTTATTTAAAAAAGCTACTTATATCCTTATGTGACCTTTATCAATTTAATTAATTCTTGGAACTTAAATATTTAAAGATCTAATATAAGCTACTTACTAAAATTGTTATTATTATCATTGTTGTTTTATTATGTAGTTTAGAAAAGATATTTTTTCAGTAAATTGTCTTGTAATATTTAAAAAAATTGTGTTTTAAGAGAGATTATCTTGATATTTAGATATCGGGATCAAGACATTTCGGGAAATGAGAAACTTTCTAAATTTCATCATTTCATCGTTCCAGGATAACACATGTTTTTGTTAAAAGAATACATAAAAAATATAAGATATCGAAAAAAAATATATAAAAATAATAATGTGCGTATTTAACTAATTGTTTGCGATCGATTATAGGCAAAGTGGGATACACTATCAATTTCGAGCTGCCTCAACCTGGGGATCCGTCATCACCGGACGACGTGACTGCAGCAGAAAATGATTATCAATGGTTTAACAATTGGCTAGTACACCCAGTCTTCAGTAGTGACGGCGATTACATAACTATGCTAAAGGAACGAATAGCTGACCGCAGTCGCATTCAGGGATTTTCTACATCGCGTCTGCCAAGCTTTACGGAGAAACAGATTCGCGATGTGCGCGGAGCTTCGGATTTCCTCGGGATAAAATATTACACGTATGATACAATAACGTCGATGACTAATGTCGATGTTAATCTTGTGCATTTCGATAACGACAACGGTGCAAACGAGTCGGATAAAGCCATAAATTTCAAGGTACATGAAAAACATTTCTTAGGCAATATACAGGGTGTGGCAAAAGTTTGGAAACACTCAAATATCTCTTAAAAAATGAATTTTAGAAAAAAACGTTTCAGATAAAAGTTGTAAGGTTTAAAAAGACGCATTCAACGATAATATCCGCTTGACATTGGGTGGCGTTGCCAAGGTCAGGTCAAGGTTAATCTGATATTTGTAAATAGAATCCTCCACTTTTTATTACATATTCTTATAGCTTACCTCGAGAGCTTTTCAAAACATTATAACAAAGTTTTTTTTCGTTAAGTACTTTCCGAGTTATGAGGCACAAAGGTTGCAATACCGCCGACATTAGCATTACCCAAGATGTACCGCGTGGAGGTTGCACGGTCGGATTTACATCTCGTGTGTGCGTGTGTGTATGCGTGCGTGTATAAAAAAGTGAATGAGTGAACGATTGAATGAGTATGCGTCTACAAATATAAATGTTTGAATTATTGACCTTCTTCAACTTGACACTGAAGCAGTCGATCATGAAAGCTCCTACTAACATTTTCCAATGTTTCGGAGATAATTAATGCCACACCAGTGGTAATTCGCTGTCGCAAATCATCCAAATTTTAAGGTTTTGTTTTGCAAACGCAATCTTTTAATTACTCCAAAAGAAAAAATCCAAGGGATAATAATTTTATTATTACTCCTTTCGTACAAACTGTCACTCGGCTGTCATTCGCCGCGATGACAACCGTAAACGGCACGAAGCCGACCACAATGCAACGTCGTCGAGACGACCAATCAGCATCGTGGAAAAGAAGCTTCAACATTTCGAAATATTCGAGAGATTTCGACTTTCGATTGACACGCACTTTTTATTAAAGGACTAGAACACTACAAGCGCGCGCCATTTTAGCTTATTCATATTAAAGTTCAGAATAAATATCATAAATCAAAAATAATCCCTGGAGTATAATATAAGTTCGATAATATCCGACCCCAACATACGATGTATTAGGCGCATACAGTTTGAAATTCCATGACACATATTTTCTAGATAGTAACGCGTAACCGTATAACCAATGAAAATTTCAACGTTCACCATTTCTACTCAAGCCCATCTTAAGCTCTATCTCTTCCCCCCTCACTCACTCTCGTTCACTCTCTGTCTTTCTCAGTCTCTCTCCCTCTCTCTCCCTCACTCTCTCTCACTCTCTCTCACTCTCTCTCTCTCTCTCTCTCTCTCTCTCTCTCTCTCTCTCTCTCTCTCTCTCTCTCTCTCTCTCTCTCTCTCTCTCTCTCTCTCTCTCTCTCTCTCTCTCTCTCTCTCTCTCTCTCTCTCAGCCTCTCTCTCACACTCTCTCCCTCACTCTCCCTCTTTCACACACACACACTCTCTCTCTCTCTCTCTCATACTCTCTCTCTCTCTCTCTCTCTCTCTCTCTCTCTCTCTCTCTCTCTCTCTCTCTCTCTCTCTCTCTCTCTCTCTCTCTCTCTCTCTCTCTCTCTCTCTCTCTCTCTCTCTCTCTCTCTCTCTCTCACTCTCACACTCTCCTCTCTCGTACACTTTCTCTCTCTCTCTCTCTCTCTCTCTCTCTCTCTCTCTCTCTCTCTCTCTCTCTCTCTCTCTCTCTCTCATTCTCTCTGACACTTTTTCTCTCTCTCACTCTCTCCCTCACAATCTTCTCTCTCTCACACTCACCCCCCCTTCTCTCTCTCTCTCCCCCTCCCTCCCTCCCCCTCTCTCTCTCTCTCTTTCTCTCTCTCTCTCCCTCTCCCTCTCTCTCTCCTTCACACACTCTCCCTCTCACACTCCCTCTCTAACACACTCCCTCTCTCACATTCTCTCTCTTACACTCTCTCTCACTCTCTCACTCGCTCTCTCCAACTCATTCTCTCTCTCACATTCTCTCCCTCTCACACTCTCTCCAGGTTCTCTCTCTCTCTCCCTCTCTCTTTCTCCCCCTCTCTATCTCTCCCTCTCTCCCCCTCCCCCTCTCTCTCTCCCTCTCTCTCTCTCTTTCACGTTATATTTATTACCATTACCCGATAAAGAAGAAAAAATATATTATAACTTATTATTTTATGTTATAAAATTGTTAACCTGATATAACCCCATTATAACTCCTTTCGTACAAACTTTTATTCAGCTATCATTCGCCGCGATGACAGCTGCGAGCGACACGAATGCAGCCGTGACCGATCGAGACGATCGAAACAGTCGAGACGGCCAATCAACATCGCGGAAAAGAGGCTTCAACGCTTCGATAAGAAATACATTCACGATAACACGCATTTTTTTAGATAGGATTAAAGGACTATATCACGTAGGGGGCATATTCATACTGAAGTATAAATTTGTACAACAAATGTTGTACAACAATATGTACAACAAATATTAGGTAAATCGGAAAGTTCCGTCCATCTAGCGGCAAGTAGCTATAACTAGAACTGTCGTTAACCTCTTATGTCTAAACGAAGCTTAATGGTTTGTTTTGACATCTGTCAATAACATGCAGTACATAAAAGTATACGTTTACATCTATAACACTGTTTTTTATTGCATCGAAAATGTCGAAATTTGAGCCAAATGAGCGCCATTTGCGCGAAATGTTAATCTTTTGCTTTAATTGGAAGAAAACTGCAGCTGAAGCTCATCGAATGCTTGTAGAAGTTTATGGTGATAATGCTCCTTCCGATAGAACATGCAGAGAATAGTTTCGACGCTTTAAAAATGGTGATTTTGATGAAAGGACAAACAGCGTTTTGAACGGCTAAGAATAATCGAAGACGAAATTTGCAGACATTGGTGGACGAAAACCCATGTCAAACACAAAAGCAACTTGCAGAAGCATTAAATTGTGCTCAATCTGTCATTTCCGATCGTTTGAAAGTCTTAGGAAAGGTTTACAAGAAAGGAAAATGGATCCCATATGAACTGAAGCCAAGAGACATTGAAAGGCGAAAAACCACCTGCGAAATTCTGCTTGCTAGGCAACAAAGAAAGGGATTTTTGCATCGTATTATCACTGGGGATGAAAAATGGATTTATTCTGACAACCCCAAACGTCGAAAAATTATTTGCGATCCCAGCCAACCTTCCACATCGACGTCAAAGCGGAATATCCACGGAAAGAAGGCAATGCTCTGTATTTGGTGGGATTAGAAGGGTGTGCTGTACCAGGAGCTGTTGAAAAGTGGTCAAACAGTCACAGGGTATCTCTATAGAGGACAAATGATCCGTTTGAGACGAGCATTGCATGAAAAACGACTAGAATATGAAACGAGACAGCATAAAATGATTTTATTTCATGACACCGTTCAGCTTCACGTCACAAAATCTGTCAAGGAAACGTTAGAAGCACTTCGCTGGGAAGTGTTACCCCATGCGGCTTATTCATCAGACTATGCCCCTTCCGACTACCATTTGTTTCGGTCGATGGCACACGCACTTGCTGACGAATGCTTCAATTCTTATGAAGACGTCGAAAAATGGGTCTCTGACTGGATAGTCTCCAAAGATGAGTCATTCTTTCGCCGCGGAATTCGCTTGCTGGCCGAAAGAGAAAAAGTCATCGCTAACAATGGACAATATTTTGATTGATGTACTTTTTCATTTTGTTTCTTAAATAAAGCCATACGTTTTGCAAAAAAACGGACGGAACTTTCCAATTGACCTAATAATTAATAGTTTGTCCTGGATATATCTTTTTAACTTCACGATATGAAAATTTATAGAGGAGAAAGTAGTATTATGACCCTCCATTTTGCATAATAACTTTGTCAATTATCAATACTTTAAAGTGAGAACTAAATGATTACATTTATCACAGTGTTGTTTAATCGATTATAGACTCAAATTTACATGATGTTTATTACTTAGGATGTTATAAAAATATAACAACACTGTATGGTAACACAGGTAGTGGTGAGAAAATGGGGTAGTATTATTAATATATTAAATTTTATTACTAATATATAGTATGGCCTCCCATTAAAGCTGATACGGAAAATTGATTCTGTTTAAAATAATACAAAGTGTCTAGTTATGAAATTACATATTTATTCAAATTCAGCTCTTAGAAGTGGAGTAATAATAAATATAATTATAAATTTTTAATATGAATATTGACCTACTTATTAGGAAATTTAATTGTCGGAAAAAACAGCAGAATAGTGCAAATATAAGTATAATAGTAAAGTAGACAAATTAGAATCGACTTATCGAATAATTATTTTAGTACAAACACCACGAAAAAGAAACAGTATCAGCACTCTTATAGGACCACATTAGCAAAATGTCATGCCATTTCATTTAACTTTGCATAACTTGAAAGATGTACAGCCCAATAAAATATTATATCAAATAACACACAAAATACTCAATTGTATATAGGGTCATCGAAAAGTATCGGACCCCTCTAATATCTTCAGTTAGAATGCATTTTGGAGAAAATGTCCAATAGCAAAGTTGTATAGTTTCAAGCGGGGAGTAAGATGATGACCTTGACTTTGACCTTAACCATGTCCTTCAAGGTCATTTCAAGGTCAACCTTATTTTTTTAAGTAGAACTCCTAACATTTTATTGCATATTCTTATAGCTTATCTCGAGAGCTTTCCAAAACACTATAATGAAACATTTTTTCATTAAGTGCTTTTTGAGTTATAAAGGTTTGAAGTTAACAATTTTTTGACACAAAATGTAAAATATCTTGTAAAATATTATTTAGTTTTCTATAATCATAACCTTAATACTTTTGTGCGCGAAATAATGAGACCAATTAATTGGTTTAAAGAAAATACATTAATCGAAAAGTATCGGCTCCTCCTAATATTTTCAGTAAGAATGCATTTTGGAAAAATGTCCAATAGCAAAGTTGTACGGCTTCAAACCGTTATGCTAGTAGGCTATGGTAGAAAACTGCCCGAAGGTGATCGCGAGAAGCTGCTCGAATGCGTGATGTCTGAAGGCGTTAGTGGGAATCTCCCCGAAAGCGTTGGCGGGGCCGATCTTTATTGTCTCACTCTCACAGGCACCAGTAGTAATACAAGCTCTTGAGCAAACAATGCGGATCACTGATTTGAATCTTTGATGCAGTGCTGTCTTCTTCTTAGCGAGCAGCAGTCACCTCGTGGACGAAAACGAACAGTCCCAAAAATTGTTTCTGTAACAAAAGAAGCCATTGCGCTTCAATTGATTGTCCCAAACATCTTCATTTTGTTTCCAATAGCCCAGAATTTTTTCGTAAATATTATTAATTGATCTATTAGATTTTCAGTTGCTCAACGAGCTTTTTGCTAGTGCTGGTTGAAATAAACAAATCGATAGTTGGACCAACACTTAATAATTAGTATTTTTCTCTACTTAATTATTTAGATCAATTTCCTATCACTTACCTGATTAATTCTTCTTTGCTCTAATTAAGAATGGCAGAGCTTTCTGAAAGAGATCGAATAACACTGTTAATGATGCGAGGATGAGGAGATCAACAAAGAGGGTATAAAATGGTAACGCGATTATTTAATGAAAATTTTCGGAATGAAAATAATAGGATCTCTAAAAGTACTGTAATCCGTACTATTCAACGTTTCGAGGACATTGCTAGCGTTAAAAGCGTTAAAAGTCTAGTAGACGTAAAACAGCAACAAATAATGATAAGGCATTAGATGTTTTACAGTCTTTTGTTGAAAGTCCCCACATTTCCACCAATCGCGTTGCACAAGAACACGAAATTGGTCATGCATCTGTCAGTAAAATTCTGAAATTGAATAAATGGCATCCATACAAACTCCATTTGGTCCAAGAGTTGTCCGAAGACGATTTTAATAGACGCATCGAATTTTGTGATCTTATGATGGAGATGATTGTCGACGATCCTCTATTACTTAATAATATTGTTTTCTCTGATGAGGCAACATTTGAACTGACTGGAAATGTAAATAGTAGATACTGGAGTGATGTTAATCCTCACTGGAAAAGAGACAATCATACCCAATATCCATAAAAAGTTAACGTATGGGCTGGTATTATTAATGGTAGACCAATTGGCCCTTTCTTCATTGAAGGCAATTTGACAGCACAAGTATACATAGTCATGCTTCGCGAACAAATTGTTCCAACGATTCGAGACGTAGCTGGTGGAAATATGGATGAAATTTATTTCCAACAGGATGGAGCTCCACCTCATTATGGTGTCATTGTCCGTCAATATTTGAATGAGGTCTTTCAGGACAGGTGGATAGGGCGAAGGGATCATATTGAGTGGCCACCTCGGTCTCCGGACTTGACCCCACTTGACTTTTTTTTTGGGGTTATTTGAAAAGTAAAGTTTATGCCACCAAGCCTCAAGATTTAGATGATTTAAGAGGGAGAATAACTCGAGAAGTAGAACTAATACCGCCGGAAACGTACCGGAATGCGGTTTCAGCTGTTTATAACAGATTGGCACATTGCCAGGCTGTTGAAGGGCAACAATTTGAACATTTGTTGTGAATTGTTTGGTACAATTGTATATTTTGCCCAAGCTGACCAATTGGAATGAAATTCGCCTTAACTGGTCGGAATCACACACCACTCTTGCCTTAACTGGCCGGAATCATATACCACTCTTGCCTTAACTCGTCGGAATCACACACCACTCTTGCCTTAACTGGTCGGAATCACACACCACTCTTGCCTTAACTGGTCAGAATCACACACCACTTAACAAATTGTTAACTTCAAATCTTTATAACTCAAAAAGTACTTAATGAAAAAATGTTTTATTATAATTTTTTGGAAATCTCTCGAGATAAGCTATAAGAATGTATAATAAAATGTTGGGGATTCCATTTAAAAAAATAAGGTTGATCTTGAAATGACCTTGAAGGACATGGTCAAGGTCAAAGTCAAGGTCATCATCTTACTTCCCGCTTGAAACCATACAACTTTGCTATTGGACATTTTCTCCACAATGCATTCTAACTGAAGATATTAGGGGGGTCCGATACTTTTCGATGACCCTGTATATATTCGTGTAATGATACGTTCAAGTTTAAAAATAATGAGGAAACATCTAATCAAATGCTAAAATGTACCTTGCAGAACATTTCGAAACGCTTGAAAATAATAACGCTTTAAAGTAAAAATTGTAAAAAGTGCTAATTATTATGTATTGATATATTAACGTCACCACGCTAACGGCGAATTACTAAACAAATGATTCCATAAGTAATAACTGAAGTTCGCTACCTAATAATAATAACGGAGACATTGAGAGTGGCCATAATACTGATATTTTATACACGTGCGGAAAGAGATTTGCAGGACAGTACAACTAGATAGAGAGAGAGAAAGTGTGAAAGTTAAATTAAGAAATTTCCTAAATTTCTTAAATACAGTGTAAACTTCATTCTTCAAAATTTCATACCAACAAGCAAGTGAGTGAGTTCACAATTCCGGTCGTTCCTCTTTTATTTGCAATCCTGATCTACTAGTAATTCGATATTCAGTAAGTTGCGGAGAAATATATTTTCGAGAAAACTATATTTCAAGATATTGTCTTGATATCTAGTTTTATGACTTCTCGAGGAATTGCATTTGTTTCCAAATTTCAAGATTTCGATTCTTTCGGGAAATAATGTGTACGTGCTTCAAGATATCAAAAGACAATTACGATGTGTTAGGTCATATCTAAAGAAACAACGCTATGTCTAAAGAAATATATTATACTCCATAAATCTATCTCTATATAGTCCCTGCAATATTACAATATTATAGACTATTAAAGTCGACAAAATGTTTCTTTATAAGACAATAACTTTGTAAGGCAAATTGGTAGAATGAAGTCGTGCATACTTGACAGCAGCCGTTAAAGTGCTAATTTTCTGATAAGACAAGAGACGCTGCTTCTCACTTTATCAACGCACAACACATGAATAATATAATTTTGCATATTTAGGACATACCGTCGGTGTTTGGTCAACTAATACAGCGTCTACACAAAGAATATCATCCTACGATTTACATCACCGAGAATGGTTTTCCCGAAGCCGCTTTGGAGGACAAAACTAAAGTGGAGTTTTTACAAAGGCATCTCGCAGAGGTGCTAAAAGCCATATATAATGGGGTCGACATTCAAGCTTATCTGTTGTGGTCGCTAACAGATACCTTCGAGATGCAACTTGGTTTTCAGTAAGATCATTGGCTCGTACAAGTTTAATCTTCATCCGAATATCTAGAATTCGTAATAATAAACAAGGTAATGTTGGTATTCTTCCAGACCAAAGTACGGCCTTTTCCATGTTGATTTCAACGATTTGAATCTCACCAGGACTCCGAGACTGTCATCCAAATTTATAGCTCGCGTCTACCAAACGCGACGTCTGGAATAAACAGCCTGATATTATTATATTCGCAATGCATGTCAAATAATCAATAATATTGTACAATAATATGTAATAATTTTTTTGTAAACATATCTGATTTACTGGTATAAATGTATGCTTGGTAAAAAGATATATTTATTAAATTAAAGGTTGAGGTGTAAAATTCCCATTTTCGTACAAGATACGATTGATAGATATAAATAATAAATTTCTAATAATAAAGAATAATAAACACATCTCAATAAACTTAATAATGAATTGCTTTAGTAACAATAGTTTAAAAACTTGTAAACCTTTATTCTACATTTCTTTTCTTCCTTCTTAAGGTGCCAGTTGAGTTGTAATAAATTATTATAAAAATTGTATATATTAAATTTTTTATATTAAATTTTGTAAAAGAGAGAAAGTATGTTTTTTTGCGAAAATTTATCTGATAATGGATACTTTTAGTTTGTTATATAATAAAACTTTTATTTGGAGGCAGCACCTTCAGTGAAAGAGAGAGAGAGAGAGAGAGAGAGAGAGAGAGAGAGAAAGAGAGAGAGAAAGAGAGAGAGAAAGAGAGAGAGAAAGAGAGAGAGAGAGAGAGAGAGAGAGAGAGAGAGAGAGAGAGAGAGAGAGAGAGAGAGAGAGAGAGAGACAGAGAGAGAGAGAGAGATCTTTAAACAAAATCGATAGTATATTTATGAAACTTTTTGTTAACAATTATTTAATAAACAACAAGCGATAGCTAAAACTTTTTGATTATTACCCAGAAGGATGATTTTGATAATACAGGGTGAGGAAAAAAGATGGAAACCCTTAAAAATTTTGAAAGATACTAGTTTTACAGAAGTGTTTCAGACAAAAGTTATAAGGCTTAAAACGATGTATTTACTGATTTTATCAGTTTGACTTTGAGTGGCGTTGCCAAAGTCACGTCAAGGTCAACTTATTTTTTTAAACAAAAACTCCCATTTTTTATTATATCATCTTTTTCTACCAATTAATTTGAACAACTTCTGTTTGAAACATTTTTTTATTTACCTAATATGTTTTGAGATATTTAAGGAAAACTTGATGACATTCTCAATATTTAATTTACGATATCTCGCTAACTATTTGTCAAAAGAAAAAATGGTACCAGACTTTTTTACTCTGTTTTGTCTCAAAAATATATTGTTACAATAGTTCCCTAACTTTTGTTAACTTATTTACTTTTGGAAATTTCAAAATTATCAAATTAACAAAAGTCAGGGTGCTATTGTAACAATATATCCTTGAGACCAAGTAAAGTAAAAAAGTCTAATAGCATTTTTTCTTCCGACAAATAGTTGGCGAGATATTGTAAGTTAAATATTGAAAAAATTCTCGAGTTTTCCTTAATCTCAAAAAATATTAGGCAAATAAAAAAATGTTTCAGACAAAAGTTATTAAAATTAATTGGTAGTAAAAGATAATATAATAAAAAATAGTGGTTTCTATTAAAAAAAAATAAGTTATCTTGATCTGACCTTGGCAACGCCACTCAAGGTCTAACTGATAAGATCAGTAAATACATCGTTTTGAGCTTTATAACTTTTGTCTGAAACACTTTTCTGTAAAACTTATATCTTTCGATATTTTTAAGGATTTCCACCTTTTTTCCTCACCCTGTATGTATGAAGGACAAAGTCTTAATGGAGTGTGTTCCTCTAAATGAGAATGCTTTACCTCTTCACATCTTTGAATACAATTTTATTAGGTGACTAAAAAAGTTCATACGATTTTTGTTTAAATTGTTGAGTTTCGTTTGATGCAATAAGTTAACGAATCTTGTTGAAACTTGTCGGACGCAAGTGTTTATACATATTACATTATGCAAATTTGTGTCAGTTAATTGATAAATTTTGACGTGGCGTGGTCTCTTAGTTTGTAATTATTTATTCTTTTAAAATGTTTATTGAATCAAAAGTAATTTGGGTATGTTTACTTTATGAATTTAAACTCGGGCCAAAAACTACAGAAATATGTCGCAAGATATGCGTTGATAACGGAGATTTAACAATGATTTATTCATATACTAATTATAATATTTTTTCTGAAAAATTTTGTCCTTGTTTAATTTTTAATATACAAAACCGCACAAACTTTTTTAGTTACCTAATAAATATCAACAACTTTGAGAGAACTTCTAAATGCTTCGTCAGCGTTTTATCCGAACAGTTGCCAGCCACACGTTTGAACTATGCAGGGGATTTTGCTCCTTATATTAAAGAGTTATACAATTTTACATCTTAATTTTTACATCTTAATATTTGAATCGCTATTATAAAGTGTTGTCGTCAATTAAACAAACCATTGAAATAAGCATCTTGGCAGATGATATGTCTGGAATGTTAAAATAATTGGTTAAATAACCTTTGTAATTATTATAATAACTTTTTTTATTTAAATATCTGTAAGTAGCTAGTAATACCAATTTGATATTATATGTAGGATGTTATACAGTTTCTTACTTCAACTATGGACATGCTACGCAATCTAGAGCTATTGTGCAATATAATAAGACAAATTTTAATAGAATAAAAGATATGTCGCGATCATTTATTAAGTACTAATGATTGGATCATTCGTTAAGTACTAATGATTAAGAACTAATGATTAGGATCCAATTTACTATTGGATATACTATACTATATAAATACAATCAAGAAATGGATGCCACGAATATAGTCTTATAAAAAGTAAATGACACTGTTCGTAAAATCATACCGTGTATACCATCGGCAATTTAATTTACAATCCGGTCTTTTCTTTTTTACGAGGAGGAAATCCATAAATACCTTGGACCCTCAGGGAAGGGTTCGAGGTTATGCCGGACTCCTACTGGCTAAAACCTCCCCAGGTGGCACTGCGAAGTGACTTGCTTCGGGGCTCCGGAGCCGCGTAACTGCAATCGGGGCCCCGAGTCCAGACGGCTACACCGTCGTCTATCTCTGAGGAATGGAAGGAGAGGGTAGGCTGAACCAAAACTCCTCCTCAACTATTACTCTCCCTCTACCCCTCACGCCCCGTCTGTGATGCTGGGAAAGGGAAGGCCGAAGTCGATCTGGACCACCGTTCCTAACCAGACAGGGCGCCGCCTTTGATGTTGTGCGACGAGGTAGGCCACCGCCACCTCGCCACTCCCTCTATAGGAGGACTGGATGAGGCTCCGGGAGCCCCCGCCCGGCCAGCCCCACCCTCCTGCCCGGCGGTTACAGGGAGAGAAAGGTCCCCTAGCTGTCGAGCAGCTTTCGCGTGAAAGGCAAGGGGGTCAATCCCAAGGACCCTTTCTTTACTGTCCCGCACATAATGCGTGCGGGTCTTTCAGGCCGGGGGGGAGGCATATATCGATGACGACTAATTGACATCATGCACTCCCCTCCCTTGTTGTCATCCGGTCCCCGTCCCGGGGACCGGCGGAAGGTTGAGATCTGGTGGTCTGCCCACCGCCTGGCTGCGCCACGTAGTGCCGGAGCTGGGGGCCGGGGAGGTAGAACCATAGACATAGTATATCTAGACTGCGTGTTCGAGGAGTGGGGATATAACTCTCATAGAAAAGGAAGCACTCTGTTTTTACTGTTCGTTCTCTCGCACAGTCCCGATGGAAGAGGCACAGAGGAGGCAGTTGCAGTACAATAACCACCGCCCCTATTCCCCTTCCATCGGGACAGTGCGAGAGAGAACGAACAGTAAAAACAGAGTGTTTCCTTTTCTACGAGAGTTATACCTCCACTCTTGAAATTTGAGAGAACGCGCAGTCTAGATACCAGGTCTATAAATATAAAACCGGAATTTGCCCATAGATGGCCCTAGCTGTCAATGTAGTTACCGTCAAACCGCGTCATTGGCGCCATTTCAATTTGTTGACATCTGACAAAGATTTTCAACTTACAATACAAGTTTCTTATAACAGCATAGTTTGTAATAGCGTTGAACATGTCGAATTTTGTGCCTGGAAGCTACGATTTGCGGACAGCATTTATTTTCTGTTACCATTTGAAGAAAACTGCTGCAGAATCGCATCGAATGCTTATCGAAGCTTACGGTGAGCATGCTCTTGATAAATCACAGTGCTTTGAGTGGTTTAAAAAATTCAAACGTGACGATTTTTACGTGAGAAACGAAGAACATGAAAAACCACCGAAAAAGTTTGAAGACAGCGAATTGCAAGCATTGTTGGATGAGGATGACGCTCAAACGCAACAACAACTCGCGGATCAATTAAATGTGACATGAAAAGCCGTCTCTATACGTTTGAAAGCCATGGGAAAGATCCAGAAGATGGGAAAATGGGTTCCACATGAACTGAATGAAAGACAGCAGGAAAACTGAAAAACCACTTGTGAAATGCTGCTCATCAGGTACAAAAGAAAGTCATTTCTCCATCGAATTGTGACTGGCGATGAAAAGTGGATATATTTTGAGAATCCTAAGCGTAAAAGATCATGGGTAACTCCAGGCGAACCATCGACATCGACTGCAAGGCCAAGTCGCTACGGACGGAAGACAATACTTTGTGTTTGGCGGGATCAGAAGGGTATGATCTATTATGAGCTGCTAAAACCTGGCGAAACCGTTCATACTGAACGCTACCGACAACAAATGATCGGTTTGAATCAAGCTTTGCGTGAACAACGACCAGAATATCAAAAAAGGCAAAACAAAGTGATTTTGCTTCATGATAATGCACTATCACACACAACAAAACTGGTCAAGGAAACGATTGAGGCGTTTAGTTGGGAAATACTTTCGCATGTGGCTTACTCACCAGACTTGGCTCCGTCCGATTACTATTTATTTGCATCGATGGTACACGCACTTGCTGAGCAGCACTTCACTTCTTACGAAAATGTACGAAAATGGCTCGATGACTGGTTTGCCTCAAAAGAGCAACAGTTTTTTTGGTGTGGCATCCACAAATTGTCAGACAGGTGGGAAAAATGTATAGCTAGCGATGGGCAATACTTCGAATAAAATACTTTTTATCATTTTCATACAATAAACGTGTATTTTCTATACAAAAATTCCGGTTTCATATTTACATACCTGGTATAATATGTCTATGAGTAGAACTCTTTCCCTGTACCCTCTTCTCCTAGCGCCGCGTTGCCCCGCTGGGCCTTGGGGCCCCGCGGCTCCGTCTCGTGATCTCCCCCGCTGAAGTGGTGCTGGTGGAAGGGGAGGTGAGGCGGGTGCCATGATGTCCCTTACCACTCCCTCTTTCTTGGAGGAGCCGCCACCACCGCCGCTGCTGCTTTCCGACCAATGTCACTGGCAATGGCGACGACGGCGCCGTCTCCTCTAATACTCCCGCCCTCTTTCGTCCGCCGCTTGACGGAGCCACTCCGCCTCCTCTTTGCGAGCCATTACTGACTCGTAGAAGGAGGCGAAGGCCTACCACTTCTTGTCGCTCCCTAGAATGGTGGTAATTATCACCGGGAGCGACAGGTCCTGGCCCAGCTCTGCGACTGCGACTCCGCGCTCAGCTGCCCAGGCGGGGCAGTCCTGTAAAGTGTATTGCGCGAAGTCACAGTCGTGCCCACAATGATAGCACTATATCGTGCGCTCCCTTTGGATTCGACACAGGTACTCACCAAGTCAACCATGCCCGGTGAGCACCTGTATCATCCTAAAAGTTAGAATCCCAAAGTCCCTGCCTACCCAATCAGGCAAGCAGGGCTGGACGGCCTCGACAATCCTTCTCCCGTACCTGGAGTTTTCCAGGCGTCTCTGTTAACGCTGGAAGAGGATCTGTTAGGCCTGGTGCTTATATCGCTTCATGGCCCCGGCAAGAGACTCGTCAGCCCCTAAATTGCGACGGAGCTCCCCCTTGTTGGTTGTACATACTCCTGTACATCAAGGCGAGGAGCTTCATTGGGGGTATGCCGTCGTCGCTGCATATGATATGGTGCGGTATTCTCTAATGACCCTGATCGCCACCACCCTCTGCGTCCTGCGCAGGAGACCTTGGAGTGATCGGCTGGCGGTCAGGGCCTCCACCCATACCGGGGCTCCGTGTAGAGCCAGGAGTTAAGGATATCCGCATGCAGACGACGAGCCTTCATGTCTGGTCCCCCCGATATTGGGCATAAGACGCCCGAAAGACGCAGAAACGACTCTCAGTCGGGGGACCAGGCGGCTGAAGTATTATTTGAAGCACCAGGTTCCGTCCAGTATGAGGCCCAGATAGCGCATCTGGGCCTCAATCGCGACTCTGACATTCCCGACTCTGAGATGGGTCGGTAGCCGAGCTCCCTTCCTGTGCAGGAAGATGGCCTTCGTTTTCTGCTCGGCCACCGCCAGGCGCAGTCGGTGTATGGAGCACACAACACAGGCCACGGCTATATTTGCCGTTCTTACGGCGTCCTCCCAGTCTTTCCCTCTGGCTAGGACGAACGTATTGTAGCAGATACGCAGAACGTCTGCGTAGCAGATCATGGTACAGCCGGAGGGGGGGAGCGCGATGCGGAGGATTGCATCACAACCGAGGTTCCACAGGAGGGGGCCCAGAACAAACCCCTGTGAAACCCCGCATACATCCCTCTCTGGCGTACAATACGGCCAGCCTCTTTGTAACAGAGAGACGCCGACTCCGGAAGTAATCTCTGATGACAGCCACGAGGTAGGGGAGAAGCCGAAGTGGTGTTCCATGGCTTCCACCACCCTACCCCAGGATAGGGTGTTGAACGCGTTTGCGATGTCTAGAGACACTGCCACCGCCACCCTGCCCTCCCTCCCTATGACCTCCGAGAGGAATCTAAGACGCTCGATAGCGTCTATCGTTGACCATCCCTCTTGAAAGCCGTATTGGCCGCTATCAAGTTAAGGACCTACCCGGGCTATATGCTCCACGAGGCGGGCAGCGATGACTCGCTCGAAGAACTTATCCGCCTTGTCAAGGAGGCATATGGATTTGTACGAGGAGGGGGAATCCTTCGGCTTACCCGGCTTGCGGAGAAGGACCACCTTGGCCCTCCTCCAGACTGGGGGAAACCTGCCTCCTCTTAGGGCCGTATCGAATACGGCCACTAACCTGTCCATTACGAATCCTGAGGCCAGGGTAAGGACTCGACCAGGGAGATCGTCAGGTCCAGGGACTTTGCCTTTTTTTATCTTTTTGACAGCCCCGACCACCTCCTCAGTGATCCCCGGTACTTTCCCTTGGTGTTCGGGGGGATACACTCTGAAAGGGCCAATGGGGTCCCCGTCCCCGACGGTGAAAAGAGTCCCCATGACTCTTTCTATGACATTTTCTATGAACCGGGGATCCAGCGTCTCCGTCAGGGGGGCATGCCCAAGGCTTAAGCTTGTCCATAGTTATCCTATAAAGGCGCCCTCATGGATCCGCACCTAATCCTTAGAGGAAGGTGTTCCAGCCCTTACCCCTAGCCGCCCCGATGGCATCACGGAGGGCCATAAATACCCTCCGATACTCGATGTGGGCGGCCAGTACGGCTTTAGGGTCCGAATCCTCGTCATTCCGAGTTCTCCTATAAGATCGCCTGAGGTGGAGCGAGATGCGACGGAGATCTGCGATCTCCTCGCTCCACCACCAGGCTGATCTTTTGGGGTAGTACCTGACTTTGGGCATCGCCGCGTCACACGCCTTTGTGACGATGCCCATTAACTCCGCAACTGCAAAGTCCAGGTCCTGCCCTTCTTCCGGTGATGGCCAGGTGAAAGCCGCCAGGGAGATCTCAAGGACCTCCCTATCCAGCTGGCTTATGGCCCACTTAGTTCGTCGGGGTCCTTTCACGCTACCGAGCCGCAGACCGTTGGGGGTGACGGAGAGAACCATCTCTATGTAGAGATTGTCTGACAAAACTTCAATTTCCTCCGCCACCCTCCAACTCTGCACCCGCCCAACGGCCGCAAAAGACGTCCACGAGAGGTCTATGAAAGATTCCCCCTGCAGCCCAATAAACGTAGGTTCTTCACCGTCGTTGAACAAGTGCAGGCCGAGCTCCGCGGCTCAGTTTTCCATCTCATCCCCCCGCCTGTCATCATACTAGATTCCCCAAAGTACCGACTTGGTGTTGAAGTCTCCGGCTATGATAACAGTCCTCGGGAGAATGGGTATAACTTTTCTTCCGATCTCGATGAGCCTGGTCCTATATTGATTTGTAGATCCAGGCTCTTTTCTGGGTGAAGGTAAACCCCGACCACTGTCAGACCCCCCACCTGGCCATCACAAATCCATCCCCCCTGCTTGTGAACAATGCAGGGGGGAATTGGTGTTTGTCCTTCATACAATCACGGCGGAGCCCAGGTTATCCCTGAACCATCTAGGACAGAGCTCGGCAAAATATGCACGCGACGGCCGATTTTCGACTATCTCCGCCCACCGCTATTTTCTTCACCTCGCCGCTCCGCGCGCTGCCTACAAGCCGTTCGAACCTCAGGAGCGTATTTCCAATAGTTTTCACGTCACCCATGAGGTACTATTGTTGACGCGTTTTTTTTTTAAGTGGTATCCCCAGTATACCTCTTCATTTTTCAAAAATGAAATTTATAAAAAATGAGAAGTGTTCTTCTTTAAGCGATGATTCCTTACCACGTCTTATGCGGCTCGCTACATGCAATATCCAAATTGACGTTTCCATTCTTACCAATAAAAGACGCCGAAAATCGAATTGAATATTCTTCATTTAACATATTTTATTTCGCTTCTGTTCAATTAATTACGGGTTGTTACAGTCATCAGTGAATTAGGCTTACTGGGGATACCACTTAAAAAAAGAACGCTTTAACAATAGTACTTCATGGGTGACGTGGAAAACTATTGGAAACACGCTCTTGAGACTCGAGCGGCTTGTAGGTAGCGCGCGGAGCGGCTAGGTAAAGGGAATAGCGGTGGGCGGAGATAGTCGAAAATCGGCAGTCGCGTATACATTTTGCCGAGCTCTGATCTAGGATGATCCGGGGGAACCTCGAAGGGCTCTGCTGCAACGCCCAACCCTATACTGCGCTCCGCCCTGGTAAGCTCAAAAAGACGCTAAGCCTGGCGGGCACGGTGCAAGTTAGCTTGGAGGAGCCACGTAAACATAATTATTTATCGACTATCACGACTTTTTCCCCGCTGCTATTGTCCTCCTGCAGACAGGATCGTTTCTCCCCTCTTTTCAATGTCCATCTCACTTTCCTCCCACTGTACGTTGGGGGGAGGCGTGAGGAGGTACAGGGAAGGAGGGGGAGTTACTTCCCTCTCCTTTTCCATTTTCTCAGCCGGGGCAGAAGATACAACTGCTTGAGGCGCTTTCCTTTCCGCAACCTTCTGCCCCATTTTCTTCTTTTGTTTGGAAAGGGGATGACACGCAGCCCCCCCCCATGCGATGGCTGGACGATAAGCCCGGCTCTGCGCAAATTTGGCATTTAGCCCGAGATTCACGATCTCGGGTCTTATGTTCCGTTTCACCACACTTGTAACAGTTGCCACTACGGATTATGGTACTGTTACAATTCTGCTGGACATAGCTTCTCTCTAAGTATTGGAGCATCTATAGCATTGGAGGGACCTTGCATCCAACAGATCAATCTTGACCTGGGTCCAACCAACCGTCAGTCCCCCTTTTCAGCGCCTTTTTTAGCAACTGCCAGGGGACATTGGACCCATAGTGACCCTGATCCGTTGGATGCAACCCTTATTTTTCCCGTTTTGACTTCCTTGGGGTCACATCCCCCTTCCTTGGATATAACGTTAGAGATGTCACTTCCGAACGACATCTCTCAACGTTATCTAGGGAGAGGAGAGTGTCGTGAGCGTAGAGCGTCAGACAGCTCAATGGTCTGGAGCAGTCGCCCGGCAAGCGAAAGACCCGGGTTCGATTCCCGGTCTAGCGACTACCGCGCTCTCGATATTTTTCTCTCTTCGGAACGAAAATAAGATGCAGGTCCCGAACGCACGGGGCGTCCCGTCGCCACCTAGTACGCCCTCCTTCTTTCATGGTGATCCCCCTTCGACGCGTTGTAAAAAACGTGTCCAAGTGCCCGGGGGCAGCCAAAATATGGCGTCGACCCCGGGGCTTATTTCTATTATTTGCACCGGATAAGGAAGGGCCACGGTGGAGGCCGGCATACATGCACAGCATTTCTTAAAGGATAGCAACCTTTGACTTTGAGAGACACCAGCTTATACCACTAGGTACAAGTAAACAAAGCCTCCTACTGTCGGGGAGGGAATACTGGCGTAATTTCCCCGACTCCTCCCCACTCCGGCCCGTCTGGCAAGCACCCCGGGGAGTTTTAGCCGGTAAGAGTCCGACATAACCCCACACTCCTCCCCAAGAAGTGCGGAGTATCCATGAGGATTTCCCCCCCGTAAACAAAAAAAAAGGCTTTCGTTGAACTTGGGTAATTTCTCTTCTCTTCATTTTTCTCCTTCCTCTTCTGTTTTCTTCCCACTACTTTAATCCAGCTCTCCTGAGGGTCAGAGCCGGTCTTCTTTGGCCCTTGCTTGTGTTTAAGCGGCAGGAAATTCTTTGTAGTAAAGGGGGAGGTTGCCGGTATTGCAACTGTCGTCGTTGTTGCTTTAACTGCTGCTGAGCCGCAGCCGGTGCTCCCCTCATCTTTCTCTCCCTTTCCTTTCTCTGAGAGAGAGGTTGCTCCACTGGAGGTTCTCTATTCGGTGGTCCTTTATTATCCCTCTTCGACCACTTCTCCATAGAGAAGACGTTTGTTGTCACACGATCTTCAAGTATTTCCACATCATTCTTTTTTTCCCTGTTGCTCTTCCTCTCCACCCTTATCCTCGAGTTGACCGGGATATCTTTGATTTAAGGGCCCAGTCTGTTATTTTCGTAGACCCTATTTCCCTCTCCTTTTTCTACGGGGTGAATTTCACCTGGTCCTAGTTTGATCATTATATTTCAATTACCCCAACATCAAATTCCTTATCGCTCTCTGTATCAATGATCGGGGGTTTATTTTTTCTCTTGGTGGATACATTATCCACCTCTTCATCCTTGTTGTAAAGAGGTGGAGGTGGGATCAAGGGTGGTGGTGCTTCCCTGTACATTCTGAGGGACTCCTTGAGTCCCTCCACCTCCTTCTTTCTTCTTCATAAGAGGTTCGTAGTCTCTTATTTTCCTTCCTGATCTCTTCCAGGATTTCTTCATTTTCCCCACTTCATTTTCCCCGATGTAATCCTCTTCCCGAGAACTATTGCTCTGGCTGTTATTACCGCAGCAGCATCTCGCAGCACTTTTATATACGTCCCTTTTAAATTTCCGAATTTCACTATTATGCCCAGAACCTGTTTGGCTGCATCCAGTAGGGATGCAGTCAGATCACTAGATGGAGCTTTCACCAAGTGCTCCTCCTGTTTCTTAAGCTCCGCTTTAAATTTCCGATTGGAGCATAAGTCTTGAAGCGACTCGAATGGGTTTTCTATCCTTTGGAGAAAATCCCCATCCTTTTCCTTTTTTAGAAATGCTTCCTTCTTCGCAAGGAATGCTTTTTTCTTCTCATACTCACCCATCGTGAGTGGTTTTCCACGGGTGCACAACGCCTTCTCCGCGAAGCTCTCCTCGTCTGTATCCCCGTCCTTGTTGACGGGGATGTCCCATTTGGACGTCTTCGGTGAGCTCTCCGGTCTCTCCGGTGACAGGGAGGCGGACACTGCCTTTCTGGCAGGTGTTCTCGACCTACTAAGTGCACAACTAAGTTTCCGGGTTACTTTGATCAATGAAAAATGGAAAATTTCAAGAGAAATACAAAAAATGGTTTATTGAAAGTATCGTTCCTCGCTAGCTACACATTTTTGCCATCTCTCTGGCAATACATGAATACCGCGACGATAAAACGACGCGTCTTTGGACCGAAACCATTCATCCAACCAATTTTGCACTTCTTCGAAATTGGCCAAGTGTTGCCCAGCCAAGCCATGCGCCATCGACCGGAACAAGTAATAATCGGAAGGCTAGGTCTGGCGAATACAGCGGGTGCGGTAGCAGATCCCATTTCAGCGTTTTGATGGTGTCCTGGACGATAGAAGTGCGATGGCACGGAACGTTGTAGTGCTGCAATATCACTCGTTCGTGTCTCGTGTCCCATTTTGGCCGTTTTTCGAGCAATGCATGGTTCAAATTGACCAGTTGTTATCGGTAGCGATGCCCATTGACAGTTTCGCCCGGTTTCAGCAGCTCATAGTATACGATTCCTTTTTAGTCCCACCAAACGCAGAGTATTGTCTTCTTTCCGAAGCGAGTTGGCCATGCCGTCGATGTTGATGCTTCGTCAGGTGAAAGCCACGACTTTTGGCGTTTTGGATTCTCGAAATATATCCATTTCTCATCGCCAGTAACAACTCGATGCAGGAAACTCTTTCTTTCATGCCGCAAAAGCAAAATTTCAGAAGTGGCTCTTCGATTTTCCATCTGTCCCTCAGTCAACTCATGCGGCACCCATTTTCCTTCCTTTTGAATTTTTCCCATGACATGTAAATGTTTGGAAATACCTTGACGAGTCATGTTTGATGCCTCCGCAAGTTGATCTTGTGTTTGCGTATCATCTTTATCCAATAACGCTTGCAGATTGACGTCCTCAATTGTTTTTGGTCTTCCGGAGCGCTCCTTGTCCTCAGTGTCGAAATCGCCACTTCTGAAGCGTTTAAACCAATCGCCACAGGTAGTTTTCGATGGTGCATGTTCGCCGTAGGCCTCCTCAAGCAAACGACGTGCTTTAGCTGCACTTTTTTTCAAGTTAAAGCAGAAAAGCAAAGCTTCCCGTAAATGCTGTTTATTTAGCACAAACTCGACATCTTTGTTGTTAGAAGAAATATTTTGCGTTGCGATATGTATT